CCAGGCTCCCTAGGGCAAACTCCCTTGCCTTTCTGGGTCTTCATCTCATCAACCATCAAAGGGCCCTGACCACCATCCCATGCTGTGACCATATCACATGTTGGGCTGGTGTGATTGCAAGAAGCTTCATGGAAGAAGTTAGCACTAGTGTTTAAGAAGATGACTTTGGAGTTGGGGAGACAGGTTCAAATCCAGACTCTGTCACTTCCTAGTAATGAAACTTTACGAAAATATCCTCTCTGAGCCTCACTTTGCTCATCTGTAAAATGGGGATTATAAACCTTACCCTCATAGGATGATTATAGGACTCAATGAGTAAAATTATCAAAACTGACTTAGTTAATACTAGGTGCTCTATAAATGGGCAGCAGCCTCAGAAAAGAGATGGGAGGGTCCCTAGAGTTCCCTGGCAACAGCCTCCCTGTTTGCCTTCCTTTTTCCTGATAATCTGAGTCAGTTTGGGCTTTTTGTGTTCAAGGATGTCCACTGGGCACCACTCCCCAGTCAAGTGATCCCATCCAAGAGCAGGAATCAGTTCTTCCTCTCCAAGTGATTTCTGTGTGAGTCAGGACAGTAGTATGTCATCAGGGCTGGCAAGCAAAGCAGGGCTAAGGTCTCCCTGGAACCAGAAGCATGTGCAGGGGCTGCAAAACTGACCTATACATGCATGTGGAAACGTGTACACACACACACACACACACAGTAGGCACAGAGCCCTGAAAAAAGTGATAGCTACATTGCGCCCAGAGGAGGTCCAGTCAAAAGAAGGGATGGCAACAAGGGGAATAGGGAGAGGAAGGAAAGGGATGAGAGCACACGAGACCACATCAGAGGGCAGATCTCGGGTCAGACACTAGCAGGCCCAGAGCACATACATCTGTATTCACTCAATATCTGCTGAGTCCTGCTAGGTGCCCACCTAAACATATCCAGAAATCCTGTCCTTTCCCGAAATCTTTCCAGACTGCACTCACGGAAGGGAGCATTTTCTCCAGATGTGATCTGCCTAAATGCCTCCTTGCCTCCAAATTCCTTTGGTTTCTACCCTGAAAGAGGCTCAGTCTAGCAGAACAACTCTGCCAGCCCCTCTCCATCTAAGCACCAGACCCCTCTGGGAGTGTAGCAGTCTCCACCAGTCCTCAGAGCTAGAAGGCCTCTTATGGTACACCTGGTCCAGTGCCTAGCTCCAGGCCCATTGTACAGATGGAAATCTGAACCCAGAGAGTGGTGGCCGGCTGCCCAAGGACCCACACTCAATCATCAGCCACCAGCAGAGGTGACTAAGAGCCAGCTGACCCTCCTCTCTTCCTCACTTGTTGAATGGAATCATCAGGCTGCCTTGCCTGCCCAGGGTACAGCATGAGCTCAGAAGCAGGCAGCCTTGGGTTTAAATCCTGACACCAATGCCTTGCTGAACACATGACCAAGTTTAAATGACTTAACCTATTTGAGACCCAATTCCAAATCTCTAAAATGGGGGTAACAATCCCTACCCCACAGGGTTGCTGTGAGAATAAAATAAGACAATAGAGAGAGAGGACTTAGGAAAGTGCCCAGTAACAAAACTGCAGTAATAGTTATTATTATTGCCGTTATTATTGCCGCAAGCATGGAGACAAGGTCTCCTAGATGAGGCCTCTGCACTGAGCGAACACTTTGCCCCTACCCCACTCTCCCTGGCCAAGACCTTCTCTGTCAGGCCACACATCTGGGTCTCTAGGACCTTACTCCTTCTGTGTCCCCACTTTTCACCTACAGCCCCACCACTGCCCCAGCTCCAAAGTAGCAAATGCACAACTTGACTCCATCTCTGGCTCTGACTCATTCTAGTAGTTCTTGGCCCCTTCCTCTTCGCAGATGCCCCGTCACAGCTCCAAGTACCATGGGCTCCTACCCTTCTGCTGCCATATCCCCTAGCACAGAGCATTCTCACAAGGACACATTCCAATGTCTCCCACAAGGGAGCCCCAGTTCCTAGAAGCCTGTATTGCCTCTAGGGTAACCTGGGACCCCTGCCTCCCACAGACAGTATCTCTCCCTGCTCCAAGGCTCCCAGCAAGAAATGCTTCTCACTCCACTTCCTGCAGATTATGCTCCCTATGCCTAGCGAAGGTCAAATTTCCAATGGCATAAGGTGTGTGGAGCAGGCATTCATTCTCTGGACCACAAAGAGAAAGAAAGGAAGAAAGGACACAGCTGGCTGGGAGCACTGGTCAGAACTGGAGGGTGGAGGAGGGACTCCTGGAAGCCCCGGTCAGAACTGGAGGGTGGAGGAGGGACTCCTGGAAGCCCCAGCATGATGAAGGCCAGGGCTCTGGAAGAGAAGAACTCTCAGCAAAAGCCCTGACTATGCTGTGAAGGCCACTAGTCGCTGGGTCACCCAGGTCAGGCATGCCCTTTCTCTGGCTCCCCAGATGAGTCTTCCCTGGCTTACTATGGAGACCCTTGGCACATCTTGCCAGGCTCTAGAAAGAGAGGTAAAACCTGTGCCTACCTCCAGAGCAGCAGAAAAAGCTAGTTCTGGAAGGAGACAACAGCCCAGCTCCACCATTTGCCAGCTGTGTGTCTTTGGGCATGTGACTTGCCCTATCTGGGCCTCAGTTTCCCCAACTGTAAAACGGTGTTAATGATACCCTACCTCATAGGATTACTATGAGGATTACATGAGATAATGTCTATTTAGCTTCCAGCACAACCCTACCCACTCCCAAACCTGAAAACCCAATGCTCCTATCTGGCACACTGCAGGGGTGGCAAAACTGGGGGTGGCAGGCAAGGGTTGCATAACTGTACATGTGGCCCCCTTCCAGGTGTGGGGTCCATTCTGAGCCAACAAGATCAAAGGCAATTTCTCAAAAATCATGTGGACCTCACCCTTCTCCCCATCCCCCAGTCCCTGGGTGTGCCCTCCCCCTTTTGCTGGTGGACTTCCCTACCACTCCTGCCCTGGGGATGTGGGAAAAGGACAATGAGAAGTCGACACCCACTCAGAGGATAAGCTTACATCATCCTCCTTGCCATTTTTCCTCTTTCCCTGACCCTATGACTCAGATCCACAGCTTAACAACTCCCATGTGGTCATAATATCAGAGGCTGGTTGGATTTGGTCATTTTTCTGCACAGACCCCCAAACCCCATATGTGCAGCCAAGTACCACCCAGCCACTTGTTCTACAACACTTTCTAGGAGTCTCTTTAGGTGCTGTGGAATTCCAACTCGTGGCTCTCTTATCACACTGCATCTCTGACTCCAAACAGCATTGTCAGGCTCCGTGTCAAACTCAAATCCTACTCCAAAGAATGAAGATGTACTCCCTCAGGGAAGGCCAAAGTTTAAGGATGGAGGAATTCCCACAGGAAGGTTCAGAAGTCAACCTAATAAGGACACAGACACCCCAGAGGACTACTTTGAAAGGACCACACTTCTATAACTGTCCTTTGCATAAATATTAAAGCACCCAACCCAGCCGTCAGGTATGTGAACATGAGACATTCAGCCAGCCTACCATCGGGTAGGAAAATGTACTCACCCAAAATACTCCCATGAAATGAGCCACTTCATACCCTACAGTCCCATAGCTCTCCACCCCGCCCTGCACTCAGATCAGCCCAACCCATCGGACAAGTTTAGACTTTCAGTTCAAGTTTAAACTTCAATTCCCCTCAGCCTCAAGCTGTCCCACCTATTTGCAGGCCCCCACACTACAAGGAAGGCAGCACAGCATCAGATTTCCTAGGGACTTCTGGGAGGCCAGAGGGAACTAGAGGAGGCCACACTAAATAAAGAACTCCCTTAAAGACAAAGCAACTTCATTACTTTCTAATATAGAAACTAACTGCTAAAGACATGCTTATAAGACAAGGACCCGGGGCTTTAATGAAGAGATGAGACTCTTTTACAATTATCCACATCCAATTTGAAGGTAAATCGTTTTTCTAAATTAAGACAAATAACAGCCCCCCCACCCCGCCACACACACACACACACACACACACACACACACACAATCCTTTTTGCTTTACTATTTGCTTAATGTTTTCCCTCAGTGATAGATCCCATATCTGAGTCATTCATCACGCTTTTCTCATTAGGGCAGGTTTGGCTTAGAAATAAATCCCTGCCTTAGGCTGCCAAACCTGCCAATTCGCTAGCTAAACGGTCGCAGGGAGGGCCCTGGGCGCTGGGATTCAATCCCCTCCCTTCTAGTGTGCCCCCACTCGGGGTCCCCACCTCCCTCCACAGTCGCCCGCATCTCCTCTCCATCCCACCTCACCCCCCACCTCCCTGAGGCTTCCCAAGCCCAAACTGCCCATCCCAGTTGCCTCCCCACCCCCAACACCTACTCACCCCGTGGCCCCTGCCAGCCGTCTCTACCTGTCCTTCCCGGAATCTAACCCCTCATGCTGCCCACGGCTGCCTGTAGACGTGCACCAGTCGCCCACACCTTCGCCCTGCTGGGCCCCGCAGAGTGGACCCGCCTAACCACTCGCCCTCCCTCCCCGCCGCTCCCCTCCCAGAGCTGGGCGTTTTCCTCCGCAGGACCCGAGAGACCCCGCTAACCTCCGAGGCCCCGCCGGCGGCTTCGTTAAGCTTCAACACGGGACAGATCTGCCCCAATGCCCGCTCCAGACCCGGGGCCTCCAAAAGCGCGTTCACCCAGCCGGCCCGGTCCGCAGCTTCCGGGGTCGGCAGGTCCGACGGCGCCCGGGCCCCTCTCTGGCCGAGGGAAGTGGGGCGGGATAGGATCCGGGCGCCCCCAGCTCTCCGCGGGCCCCACAGCCCAGGGCAGGAGCGGCGCCCGCGGTTCCCGGGACTCCTGTGCGCCGGGGACCGGCCAGACCCGGGGGAGGGCAGGTGAGCGGGAGCCCGGAGGGAAGGCACCCCCGCTCAGCTCCTGCAGCCCGGCGCGGGAACTTGCCGACCTCCGCAGGCTCTGGGCCCGGCCCGCAGCAGACAAAGGCCGCCCCGCCCCGCGCCGCCCGCGCCACGCCAGCACTCACCGCGCCGCGCCGACTCTGGGACTCGGGGACGCGGCCCAGCCTAGCTCAGTCGCCGCCGCAGCAGCGAGGCCCGGCCCGAATAGGGGCCGGGGGCGGCCCGGGGAGTCCGAGGGGCGGGGCGGGCCGGGCCGGAGAATCCGCCTGGGGCCCGGAAAGGCAGCTCCGGTGCGTCCCCGAGGCCGGATTGGCCCCGCGGCGGCTGCGGACAGAGGCCTGAGCCAGCCCGCTGGGCAGAGCACACTGCCTGGCCCCGGCCCCCGCCCCCGCCCCGCCCCCAGGCCTGACCCTGGCGGGGAAAACCCTCGGCTCCGGGAGCAGAGCGCTGCCCATCCCCCACCCCGTTCCCACACTTCCAAGAGCTGAATCTTCCTTTCTGCGAGAGGGGACAGGTGACTGACTGGTCATCGACTGGCGGCGGAACAGCGCTGGAATCCTGCTGTCCGACCCCAGTCCTGGGTTCTTCCTCCACACCATGCTGGCAGCACAGCCCAGAAAGGGTTAACTCGACTGCGAGGAATTAAGAGCTGCAGGGAGCTCTCTATAAATACAGTGTCGTGGGCGCCTGAGCCAACCGCAGGACAATTTCCACTGAGCTGGTTTTCCTCTTTTCCTTCCACCCACGGCCATCCGACGAGCCCTGCCCCCAGCCCCATCCCAGACTGCTGGCCAGACTTGGCTCCAACAGGCCTGACACCTAGTGGCCTTGGGCTCTGTCCTTACAGGGCCCCGCTCCAGCCTAGGAGGAGATGGGGGTCGGGCCTGTCTAGATTTTGCCGTGGTGCAGCCGATCCCTGCACCTGTTCTTGGATCTGTTCTTCCTCACAGGGACAGTGACAGCTAAAACGTAGGGAGGCTTTTGTGGGCCAGAGTTAGGTTAGGAGCTTTCCATGCTGGGCCTCTTTAATTTTCTGTACAGCCCTACCGGGTAGATAGTATTCCCATTTCACAGATGAGAAAACCAAGGCTCAGAGGGATGAAGGGACTCCAACCTTGTACTGCTGCCAGACTCACCACCAGTGCCAGTGGCAGTACTGGGCACGGCTTGAGAAATGAGTATGAAAACATGTGTGTCTCTCTGCATGTGTTGCCACTGTTGTAAGCTCTTTACCATTTTATCTCATTTAATCTTCACAACAACTCATTGAGGTGAATACCATTATTATCCTCTTTTTTGCAGATCAGAAATAGGGAAATTAAGATACAAAGAGATTAAGTAATTTGGGGACACATAGCTATGAAGGGAGAAACCAGGATTTGCCCTCTGAATTTAAGTGTGCATATGGTATATGGGTAGGGGTGGTGGTGCATGGGTGTGTGTATTTGTGGGGGTTTTTTGTCTTTTTTTTTTTTTTTTTTGAGACAGAATCTGACTCTGGAGTGCAGTGGCACCATCTCGGCTCACTGTAACCTCCGCCTCCCGAGTTCAAGCGATTCCCCTGCCTCAGCCTCCTGAGTAGCTAGGATTACAGGTGCGCACCACCACATCCAGCTAATTTTTGTATTTTTAGCAGAGACAGGGTTTCACCATTTTGGCCAGGATGGTCTCGATCTTTTGACCTCGTGATCCGTCCTCCTTAGCCTCCCAAAGTGTCAGGATTACAGGCATGAGCCACCACGCCCGGCCAGGTGTGTATATTTGTGAACACATTCAAGCAACTCTGTATTTGAGTCTTCGTGCGTATGTGTTTTTGAATCACACAGCAGCTGTGTCTGTGTAACTGCCGACTGCTCCTAGGGATGGCAGCAGAGAGGCCCAGCTGTCTTGTCCCTGACGACCTCCAGGAACTCTGGAGAAATCCACGCTGCTCCCCGCTGCCCTGCCAGGTCCTATCCAGCCTCGTCCAGCCTGGGTCTGGCCTTACAGGTCTCAGGATGAGTAGCCTCCACTTGACCCAGCAACCTAGGAAAGAAGCATCACATGGAGAGGTGTGCCCGGGCTGAGGGAGCCAGGAGCCCTGCTGGAGGACCCCGGAGGTGGTGTTGAACAGATCTAGAGAAACTTACTTTCCTTCCCTTCACAAAGAGTCAGTCCTGTGCCTTGTGCCCTGCAGTGGTGACACTGGTCCTGTCCTAGGGGATTTATAATCTGGCATGACTCAGCCATGGTGGACAGTGAAGGAACATCACAGAGCAGTTTATAGTGTGTCTATGGGGGGAGATTTTAAAATAATCATTCAAGAGCAGAGGTCAGGAGGGAAGGAAAGGTGTATTGGCTCTCATCCCTGGAAGCAGCAGATTGAGAGGGCTCTGATCCCCTAGGAAGGGGAAACAGCTTGGGCAGGGCACAGATAGTATGTGTGTAGGACCAGCTCATCTGAGACTCAGACACTTGGATCTGGACACAGATAGCTAGAACGACCATCCCATCATGCAGGGGCCTCCTTGGTTCAGAGAATGTTTGTCTGATTGTCCCTGGGAACTCAGGAATGGGGCTGCTACACAGAGATTCCCATCAGAACCAGAAAAACTCAGGATGGAAGGTTGTCTTCATGCATTCTTTCTAGACAACAGCCTTACCCCTCTCACCTCTATCCCTCCCACCCCCCACCTCCCCACAGCCTGCTTCCTGGGCCAGCACAGGAGTAGATGACACAGAATGTGCTATCTCCAGTTTTGCTTCAAGTTCCCCAAGGAGGTCACAAACCAATCCCAAAAGACCCAGATTGGGACAAGTCTTATCCTACTTTTTATCTACCTACCATCCTGCAGGTTCCTCAAATTGAACATGTGCAAAATTGAACTATCACCTGTCCCCCAAACCTGTTTCCCCTTCTAGATATACAGTAAGGACTATGCTCAAAACCTGGACTCATCCCTCCCTCCCTCCCACTTCTTCCCCCTTCCTACTGCCAATATCAGAATATCTTAGGAATCCATCCCTTTTCTGAATACCCTACTGCCACCCCATCTTCATCTGAGCCCCCATCACTCCTCACTGGATTGCCTCTTAACGGATTCTGCTGACTTGACTCCTCAGTCCATAGCTGCCAGAGAGAGCCTTCTAAAGCGCAAATCCTCCCACAATGCCACAATGTATCTTGCCTACGTGAAGCCCTCCAGTGTTCTCATTTGCCCTTAGGCTGCTAGTTGTCCACTGAAATTCATTCTCTTCTTCCTTACCAACAGAGTGTAGCATTTGTTCTAAGAAGTTCTATGCCTGGTTGAAAATACATGGGTTCTCCGATCCACTTGCAGCTAGAGGCAGTCACGTGACCCAGTGTGGCAAATGAGATGGAAATGAAACACTGATGGAGGCTTTGGGGAAAGCGTGTTACAGGAGCAGCCCTGAGCTATGGAAACCAGTCTGGTAGTTCCTCAAAAACATTAAAAATAGGCCAGGCACAGTGGCTCACACCTGTAATCCTAACACTCTGGGAGGCCAAGGCGGGCGGATCACCTGAGGTCGGGAGTTCAAGACCAGCCTGGCCAGCATGGTGAAACGCCATCTCTACTTAAAAAAAAAAAAACAAAAAAAACCACAAAATTATCCAGGCATGGTGGCGCTCGCCTATAGTCCCAGCTACTCGGGAGGCTGAGGTAGGAGAATCACTTGAGCCTAGGTGTTCTAGGTTGTAGTGGGCTGAGATCATGCCACTGCACTCCAGCATGGGTGACAGAGTGAGACTCTGTCTCAAAAAAAAAAAAAAAAATTAAAAATAGAACTACTATATGATTCAGCAATTCCACTTATGGGCATACCCACAAAGAATTGAAAGCAGGGTCTCAAAGAGATATTCGTACACTCATATTCATAGTGGCATTACTCACAATAGGCAAAATGTAGAAGCAACCAAGTGTCTACATCTCCAGATGAATGGATAGGCAAATGTGGTGTATCCATACAATAGAATATTATAACTTTCCTCACGGCACAAATTATGACTGAAATTAGGAGACAACTTCCTTTTGCCTCCTTTGACATACAAAAGGAAAAGTGTCTCGCTCATCTATTTAAATACACTTAAATAAAGCAATCTGTACAGTGTAAGCTATGGAGACATTTCTGTCTTTTTAGAGCAGCTAAGCAGTCCATCTCATAGAAAGCAGCTCAGAAACATTGCAATGCCTCTCCTAAGAATGATACTGAAAATGTATTCATTTTGACTGCTTCCTTAAGAAACAAAAATCAATTCTTGGCAGTGTCAGGGATTTAAGGCCCAAGTGGGGATTGGGAATTTTATCGAGGATCATTGTGATGCTGAGCCAACATCTTGGCACTGGCCTCCCTTCCCTCAGGCTGGGTGGTGCATATTACTTCCCAAGTTGTTTGCATTTTTAGGCCTCAAATCCTTGATGTCTTGGCAAAGGCCACCCACCCACACTCCACTCTGCCCACTCACTTAGGACTCATAGGGTGCCATCAGGAGCTGTTCCATCCAGCCTAAACTGAAGGCAACCACATTTCTCTCAAATGACTGAATCCGGTGCAAAATTGAATACGGTGCATAGCAACCACTGCAGGTTCCGGCTTCCTAGTTTCTTAGTCCTGGGAATTGAGTCTTGGAATAGGCTTCAAATGTCTAGAACCAACTAATTCCAGCTGGAAGCGTCTGGCAAGCAAAATAACAGGAGCAGCCTAATGAAAGAGGAACGGGTCCTCCAAGGAGGATCACCGGGGAACACTTCACAACCCTAAGGCCCTAATACATACACAACAACATAACGAAAGAGCTTCTACGCAGTCTTTTCTAACTATCTGCTTCTCTCTGACTCACCAGCCTCTGTTCTTCTTCCCTGTTCACCCTTTCCATTATCTGTCTTCCTCCTCGTCCCCAGTGAAACTGAACCATTCAATCCCCTTTCTCTTTCCAATTTCTTTACTATAACCTGGGCTGACAACACTCCCAATACCAGGAAGCCATTTCAGCGTTTGTGTCCTGCGGCTGGTGAGTTGGAAGGAAGGTGGGAGGTCCTCCACATAGGAGGGTTGGACAGAGTTTAAAAAACAAAACAACAGAACAAACTAAAAACAGCACCATGCTACCAGGGGAACTCTTCTATCTCATTGGGAGTTGTTTTTTATAATAGCTCTCACATGCAAATAACTGAACAGGCTCTGCCCTCACGCTAACCTGAAAGTGAGCACCCTCTTTCAGTTTTGCATCACCTCATGCTAGTCCTGGCCCTGCTTTTAGCCTTGCCCCAAGACAGGCTCAGAGAAGCAGGCACTGACCAGAACAACTAAAGGTTCCTGCTAGAT